AGCGCACCTTAACACTGTAGTGGCTTAATTTTTGAAAAACACATTTGAAAACTTTGATCAAAGTCAAACTTTTTCCACACATTTTTATATTGTACCATTTCATTTGTCCATATGAGGTTCAATAAATTAGTTATAAACAAGATCAATCCATTTGATTATTTTAAAATAATAATAATAATAATGCATTTCATTTATACAGCACTTTTCATGATACTCAAAGATGCTATAGCCTATTTATGTTATTAAAATACATCATATACATAGCTGGGTAAAATTTATATATTAATTCATAAAGAAGCAGCCAACAGAGCAAAAACCAGCTATGAGCCATTATTAATAGTTCTACTAACACCTCTGCTTTTTATACAATAACAATAAGAAGATGCCCACGGTTTCTGCATTTTTCCGTGGATTTAATCATCTATCTCAAAATGTTTTTATTTCTTTGAGAGTAGTATTGCCCGGCATTGAACTGTAAGCTTTGTTTCTTAGCAAGCTTTTCAGCTTATTAATTCTGAACAGAGACATCAGCCTAGCTAATCCATACCCTTTAATTTAGACCGTGTACCTGTACCATAGTAAGGTGCTTCACATAAACTTAATTTAAATCCTCCCACATAACTTGTGTCAAGGTTCATAGATAAACCTGCTTCATACAAAGAACAGTAACATGTATACTTGTATTTTAAAAGATATATAGTGTGATAATATACAGTATTAAAGGACTGCTGGTACTCAAATCCTGAATGAACTTTTATCCAAATGGATTATTGTGAAAGGACACCTCCACAGCTCACAAATCCTCTAATGACACGCTGGCAAGCAGTTCGACAGGGCACGTTTAGTTAATGAGATTTCAACTGCATTTCAACCTTTGAACATTCTGAATGTGCACCTCTGTACGAGGAAATCTTCTTAGAAATCTCTTCTTGTCACCTTGCAAACTTCCACAGGCACTAAGATTTTGACATGCAAAGTGCTGCCACCCATGCAAATACGGAAATTGCTCTTCCGTCCCATTTGTTTGTGTGTTTTCATTTGTCAAAATATTTTTCCTGCCTTTCCCCTTCCCCAGACATCTTCTGCTCCCCGAGGAGAGGAAGAAAAATGAAATTAGCTCTATCTTTCTGTTCTGTCTGCTCCTTACTGTACATGAGATGGGGACTGTCACACCAGCATGTTCTGCTGCATTTGGACATTACATGGCAGTGCCCACGCTGCTCTTTGCCTCTGACACACGTTCATAATCAGGCTGGCGCTGCCTTCTCCAGCTCAAATCTGCCATGGGCCAAAGCACAGCGACTACCTATTTGCTCTGAAAGGACTTAAGAGCAGATGTTGACTTTGTGAAGTGGTGGAACTAAGTACATTTCCTCAAGCACAGTTGCTACTTGAGTATTTTAATTTTGTACTACTTTAAATATCTAATTTATGAGGCATCAATGCAAAACAAACAAATCAGATAATGCTTTTACTTAATCTAAATACTTCAAATCTACCCCTGTTATTTATTTTGTCATATAAAAAATACCATATACACACCCTGGTGGCCATTCACCGTCTCTTTCTCCCCTCATTTCCTCTTGTTTCTCTTTTGTCTGATTTAGATATTAAACCGATTTGAAGTTGGTTTTATCCGTATAGAACAAAATCACACATTTGTCTCAGCAGGCTTTACAGCACTCTCCTCTCTCCTTGGACCCTTCATTCAGATTGTAACGTTGCCCTTGCTACAGTTGCTGCACCCTGTCATCTCTCGGTGTACAGTCGAATGCACAATCTCAATCACTGCACGCTCTGTGATGAAGACAAAAACCACTTAGACAGCTAAAGCAAGAGAGATGTGTTCATTTTAATCATACATTAATTAGTTACACTAATGAATTCATTCAAATGGGTGACAGAGTTCTGCATTTTCTCTCTGCTTTGCTATAAGCTTTGAGGCAAGATCAACCTTTAGACAATCTAAAGGAGGTCATCTTCACATGATGACTGACTGTCAGTTATCTTTTAAAAAGAAAATTCTGCCTAAAAAGGTTTAAAACTTAAGCCATTACTAATTAATCTGAGGGCTGGACAGCCTCAAACTGCAAACATTTATTTTCTTCACATTTTCACTAGTTGTGGTTCTTTGGGTTCTCCTTGTGCCTGCGTGGTGGATTCTCTCCGGGTGCTCCAGCTTCCTCCCACAGTCCAGAGACATGCAGCTTAGGTTGACTAGTGACTCTGAATTGCCCGTAGGAGTGAGTATGAGTGTGTGCAGTTGTTTGTCTACATGTCAGCCCTGTGATAGACTGGGTTCATAGATAAACCTGCTTCCCCCCTCTGCAACCCTATTCAGAATAAATGGTATAGATAATCGATGGATGATACATTTCTCAGGGCTGTATCGTGTATAGTTTGTATTCAACACATGTATAAATTAGGAATGAGACATGGCTCAACCAGCAGCTAGTCTCTGTTTTGGAGATGTTTACTGAGTCAGCTGTCTGTAAGTAAAGAACACTTTGTATTGTAAACCAGACAGATTATACCGGTAGGTTGAAAGCTGAGTTTTATTTACACCCACATGACATTATATCAGTTTGGATCAAAAGCAAGACCCATACAGAAACACATTGATGACTTACATGAAGAAATATTCCAGGACTTCCTGACACTGTCAACTCACTGTAAATACTTACAGGGAATGTTAGATTAGTTGCTTTGTTTAATTAACTGTAGCCAGTTGGGTCTCTCTGGTTCTCCAGCTTCACTGCTGATCTTCATCCTTACAGGTTTGCATATTTTGCATAGCTTTGGATGCATTGACTGGCCACTTTATTAGCTATTATTGTTAGCTTTATTAGCTACACCTGTACAATTGTTTGCACTTCAATGCAACATTTCCACCTTAACATATGTGTTTATGAAGCTCAAAATGTTTTAGCTTTTGGTGAAATTGTCATAAATGTATACATTCAATTATATGTTTATTATTGAGGTCATAG